ACTCCCAAGTATATCAGTATATAAAATAGGTATAGTAAAGGTAAAGGTTTTCCCCTGACATTAAGTCCAGTCGTGTCCAATTCTGGGGGTTGGTGCTCATTTCCATTTCTAAGCCGAAGAGCCAGTGTTGTCCGTAGGCACCTCCAAGGTGATGTGGCCGGCATGACTACATGGAGCACCATTACATTCCTGACTGAGTGGTACGTATAGATCAAATCACATTTGCATGTTTTTGAACTGCTAGGTTGGTAGAAGCTGGGGCCGACAGCGAAAGCTCACACCGCTCCCCGGAATTGAACCTGCGACCTTGCGATCAACAAGCTCAACAGCTCAGTGCTTTAACCCACTATGCCACCGGGGGCTCCTTAATATAGGTATACAGTCAAATATTTACTGATAGTAAGCAAGTATTTGCAAGGTTTGCTAGTGAATTTTCCTTTTTATCAAGTACATTTGGAGTATTTTTATGAAATACAGTTGGAGCCACTAGGTGATGGTCAGAAACATTTTACTGTTGCCAAATGTTTCGTGATCCCAACATTGTGCTAAAGCAGGGGTCCTCAAACTACATCCAGCAGGCTACATTCGAAGGCAGACAAAGGCAAATCCCCTTTAAACAAATCCTGATAAGAAAACTCTGCGATAGGCTTGCCTTAGGGTCGCTCTAAGTCTGAAATGACTTTTGTTTCATGTCAGGAGTGACTGGAGAAACTGCAAGTCGCTTCTGGTGTGAGAGAATTAGCTGTCTGCAAGGACATTACCCAGGGGACGCCAGGATGTTTTACCAACCTGTGGGAGGCTTCTCTCATGTTCCCGCATGAGAGGCTCGAGCTGACAGATGGGAGCTCACCTCACTCGCCAGATTCAAACCGCCGACCTTTCATCAGCAGTCCTGCCAGCACAAAGGTTTAACCCATTGCGCCATCGGGGCTCCTCTGAAATGTCTTAAAGGCACACAGCAACAATCCTAATGAACTTGACTTTCTCATCAGTTAAAAGCAGGCTCACACTTCCCACTGAAATACTTATAAGATTATGTTGGTTAAAATTATTTTTCATTGTAAATATTATATTGTTCTTTCGGGGGGGGGGGGGTTGCACGACTAATATGTGCAAAGTGCATAGGAATTTGCACACTATAGTCTGGACCCCTGCTTAAAATGTTGAGGACCCCTGTACTAAAGGAAACTCATTTGGGGTCGAGACCCACAGTGTAAGAAGCAGCACTCTAAATTACTTTCACACACGGCTCTCACAGAATTATTAAATGAAAAAGAGAAAAAAAAAATGGGAAACATTTTTTATTAACAGTTTGGAACAAAAATTAGATATGTTTACACCCCAAACACCCAATAAACTATCAATTATAATTTTTTCCTCTTATGAAATATAACTTAACAGAACTTCATTAAAAATAAAAGTTACAAAGATCCCAGTGTCACAACTTTGTTTTCAGGGAAGAAAACTAATACACTATGGATTGTAATGTGCACCCTTTATGAAAGATAACAAAAAATATTCTACAATAAAAAAATAAAAATTGAAAAATCCCAGTGGCACACCATTGGTTGGGGGGGGGGAGATGAGCATTACAAGGAATGGCCGACCACGGCCAATGTCCTGGAAGGACCTGGAGGCAATGTCCAACCTGCTGTGCAGAAAACACCACCCAGTCCCCACCAAAAATGGTAGGCAATCTGTAGGAGACAATTTCACTTCACTCTCTTAAGAAGCAGTTTCTTTAGAAAATACAGCCTTTGAGCTTCACCACTTTGAAAAGAGGTGGGAAAGACTCTTATTGGGGGAATGCAAAATTTTTGAGACTATGGTTAGGCTGATATCAAATAGGTGCCCATCTGAGTCACTATATGTGAAACATAAAGATAATGATATGCCTAGTCGTGAGGGTCTGTGTGCATTGAAATTGTCTCTGAAAGCAGAATAGCTGCAATGTAGATGTAAGTCTGTCCATCTTTTCCCTGCAGAAGGAAACTCTCGTGGAATCAATATAAGCTATTGGCTATTGTCTACGTGGATAAAAGCATCTTGGTTACAACCCCACCAATCTGTTTATTATCATACTTCAGATGAAGGAAGCAGGACAGAAATCAGCCTATCACTGCACTCTCCTTTGTCTACTTGAAGCACCCACAATTTCTTCCCTTCTGCTTTGGTTCTGCTGCCTTACACCCACAGCAAGGAGGGAAGCAACCACCATATTTCTAATGCTGTGGCAGAAACTGGGATTTAAAACTGAATGAGATGAAGGTGATTCTTTGGCAGCACAGCCTTTGCACAATCCACTTCAGTCTACGTGAAGGAACAATTCCCCAGAATGCGAGAAGACCAAGGAAGACGGCACCTTCTTCCCATGCAGAGTTTTCCCTTTCATCCCTTGCCTGGAAGAGCATAAAGAAGGCAGCCTGGGAGTTCACTGGCTCCCCCCCCCCCCTTCACCCCATGGAAACAGTTTCTACTCCCCCGCCCTAAGTCACTTGGAAATCAGTCCCAAGAAATGATGGGAAAGTCGAGGGGAAGAGGCTGAATATTTTCTTCAATAGAAGCAATGGTGAGAATTGTCTGATCAAATAGGAGCAAACCGAGGCTACATGTGAGGAAGTAACATTTGCCCCAGATATTGTCACCTGTCACCATCTGGGTTGTGGACCAAATATTCTTTAGCAGAATTGCCACAGAGTCTTTTCTTTCAGAGAAGTGGATGTGTCAATCCCTGTGCCACCAATGGTAGATGTGATCTCAGTGTAAGAGGCAGGGGTGATTTATAGGTTAAATTTCCTAAACAGGTCCATCTATTTTCTTCTGTATGATGGTTATGTGCATGCCCAGGGAAGTAAACAAATGCCTGACACAGGAATGGAGAGCCTGACCTACCTGTTTCCATGACCATCAGTGCCTAGATCCTAGATAGGTATGACTCTGGGAAAGGGCCAAGCTTACTGCCTCCTAAGCTACCTGTTTGGAAGGATTGAATGTAGCCAGTCACTGCTATGGGACCTGAATGGCTACATTTGTAGAAGCTGAATAGCCTGTTAGCACTCAGCACTATCAAGAAAGCTTTATTGCTGTATCTGCAGTACAGCATCTTACTTTAGCCCCCTTACCATGAAGGAAAGGAAAGGCTGTAAGAACAACAACTACTAAGTATAAGTAATTCTCTTCCCTGGAAACCGGCAGCCTCACTACCAGGCCAGAACCAAATTCGGCACTACAAATGCAGTAACTTAAATAACACTCCAATTTTTCTGAGTGAGGGATTCCTAAACACAGTGAGTGTAGATGACCATTCATTCAGAGAAAAAACTAAGACTCCCCTAGGAATGGCAGATGTGAGGGCGAAAGTGTGATACCAGGACTGAAAGGGAGATAAAAGATGGTGGCAAAAAGAGTGTGGATGTATGCTGTCTGTATATCATATATGTGAGTGTGGTTGAGGAGATAGTGTTGTGTGGCTGTTTATGTGTAGTTAGAAAGAAAGAAAATGGGGCATGGGCAGAGAAAAGTGGAAGACAAGAAGGATGGGAGATATAACAAAGAGAGAAAGGGGACAGAATTTGGAGACAGAAAATGGAACATAAGAATAGAATAAAGAGAGCTAACATAAGCTATGCCCAGAAGTGATTGAAAAATATCTTCTGCTTTTGGTCACATGTATGATTACAAACAGTGAACACTGTGATAATGCTGACACAGGACATCAACAATCCCAGAAAAGTCCTATCATCAGACCTTCCTGGAATGGACCAAAAGAAGGACGCATTTTCTGCTTAGCCAGAGGAAAGAGGCAAGAAACTCTGGGCCCCTTCCTCTTGATGTTGTTGCAACAATGATGGGGCAAGTTCTACTTTCTCATGCCTCTTGGCTCCTATCTTTACAGTTCTAATACCATTGGGCAAGTTCCAGAGATTTAATTAAAATTCACCTAAATTTTGGATTACTTTTGGAAGAGTCTTCTTTGACCTTGTGCTATTATTCCTTTTGACATAGCTCTGTTTCAAAAATCATGTTTCACTTGTCAAATGGGGGAAGGAGCAAGTGATTTTCTAGAAAAGAGTCCAAATCTTCCCAGAGCATGCCAGATCAGTTCTGCAAGTGCGTCCCTGGCTCTTGGGGCTTAACTGTCACTTTGCAAAAATGGGGGAGAAAGAAGGGATCTGAAGACCTGAAGCCAAGTGGAGGTGAACCTTGAGCATCTAAGCGTCCCATTTTCCTGATTTGCACCATTCTGTCCTCTCCATCTTATGACAATCTGAAGTTTTATATAGATCGATTTTTATGCATTAATGTCCAAAGCACTGTGATAAACAGCACATAAACGTTGACAATCTAAAATACATTTTTGCTCATTAAATGATCATCAGCATCCAACAGTATATCCCATAAGTTTTCAGTCATTCCCCACATTCACCTGAGGCTGTCAACACCCCTACACAAAGGCAGACAATCAGGTATATATGTATCCCAACAGATTATATAATGGACATTTATCAATTAAAATGGCTGAGAATTTTGAAAGGACTATGCACAGCAGTGTGTGTGCAGGCAATTTTTTAAAATGATACTGTTCTAGAACCATTTGGCAATGCAAAATATGCTGAAGCAAATAGAGGACTGCTCTTGAGGCCAGAGAACTCCAAATAGTACCCAATCCAAGAAATGAAGGAAGCTGACTTACATCCAAACTAAACCCCTGGGAAAGGTGGCACTTATCGGACCTCTGCAGAGTTATGCTTCTGGCCTGCCCTATCAAGACGGAACAGGCAGAACTCAGACACTGTGGTTCCCATAGCAGTAACGAAAGAGGGGTTCTCTTGGCAAAGCTACATGATTTCTTAACATTAGAAATTTCTCTGACCATGGATATCTCAGTAAAGCGTCATGATTGGTGCAAGGAAGTCCAAATAGAAAAGCCTACTGGTAGATGAATAATTTGACTTCCGTAGATGAATGGTGTTAAAAGGTACAACACTGCAAGGAAGGAATTCCAGGAAAATGCATGTATTTGCGATATTTTCATTTTACCATCACTATGTTTTAAAACAAAACCTGATAGAAAAATAGATACATTTGCGACAGTGATATCCCACTTTTGGAGATGTCACTGTTCTTCCACCACCACATGGAGGTTAGATATGTTTGTCTGCATGGCATGGCATTGGCAAAAGCAAATAGGGCTTGGAGGCCCAGGTGGCAGCTCGCAGACTTTGTGCTTCAGCTACACAAGGGATTTTTGCCACAAATCAAGGAATGTATAAATTCTTCCAGCAGGAGTAGGACACAGCAGAAGATTACAACACAAGATGCATTTCTTTTGGGGTTGCAGTGAATAATTTTGCTCAGGTATGAGGAGTGAGGACACCTTGCCTCTGAGGCTGTGTATCGCAGAATCCTCTTGGCTCAAAAGCTTGCGGAGGTAGATGCAGCACGCTTTCCCTCCAGCTAGTTAGCAGAGAACAACCACAACTTTCTCTTAACGGGTCACCATTATCATTTCTAAAGTGACAGGAAGAGTTTGTGTAAAAAAGATAGAGATAGCAGCACAGCAGAGCAGCAAAAATCATCTCAACACAAAGAAAAAGGAAGGAGAACATTCCCCCTCATAATCAGACAGAGTCCTGTCACTACGGTGACACTGTGATCCAAGAGACATTTTCTTTCCCAGCACTAGGTAGCAAGTAAGAAAAGCAGGTGCTGCACAGCATGGCAGTTGGTGACGCAGGATGGTATGGGAGGGACACCATCTAAGATGTCTGATGGGGTTCCTTCCTATGGATCACTGCAGGTGGGAGCAACACTGGCCACCAGCACCGCTGGAGGGGAGAGCTTTAGGGGAGAAAGAGGCCTGTGAGATATTCCAACAGCCCAGGCTGCCCACATATAAGAACAGCTAAAAATTAAAAAAAAAGTCTGGGTTAAGGCAGTTTGTTGCATTCCTGCTTTGGCAACATCAGTGCAGGGAGATGTGTGTGGGAAGGACTGGCCTTCAGGCTCTTCATCTTGGCTTCCTTTCCCCGTTTCAGATTATATTCCTCCCCGCTGCTCCCCCCGCCTGCAGGGGATGGAGCCAACACAGGAGCACCAGTCACTTTTGCTCCAAGCATGGTGCATGTTCAGCAAAAAGCTTTGTAGTTCTGATTCTGAGAAAGGCAGATGGGAAATTCAAGATGAGATGTATGTGGTAGCAAAAAGCTCAAGAGGTGTTGCAAAACAACCCTAGAGGGGACAAGGCAGAACTGATTGCATCATTTATCTCTTCGTGCCCATGGAAAATAAAACAAAAATTTCAAAAGTTTACAAAGTGACTCAGTGTTGTTTCTATTCCTCTGTAAAACGTCTCCGGCGCTAAAGGCTTTATAGTCCCACCCTGGCATTCAACTCTAGCTCTGACGGCTGCTTGCTGCCTGGGTGGTTTCATCAGGAACTTCTCCAGCAAGTCCTCCATCCTCTTCATTTCTGCGCACCTTGCTTGGCTTGCTTCCACCGAGGGCATCTTCCTTGGTCAACTCTGAAGCTAATAATGAAGTGACAGCGCATCCAACTTTTCTGTTTGCTGGGGTGGGGAGAGAAAGAAAACAAAGTGATGAGAAATCCCAGAAAGTCCAGAACAAGCCTGTATTACAGGGCCTGCTGATATAGATCCTCTGGTAGATTTTTCTAAATGGGGATGAGGAGAAGACACAACTGAACAGTTTATACATCAACCAACTTCCCTTAAACAACTGTTTCAATTTCTAATTGTTCTTATGAGACAAAACAACAGGTCATAACCTGACAGAGGATATGGACATTTATGTGACCATAAATGGACGAGGATGCAGTAAAAGCATGCATGGAGCCTTCTAAATAGAACTTCACAATAGCAAGGCAGACTAGAATATATATATATATATATATATATATATATATATATATATAGATAGATAGATAGATAGATATAGATATAGATATAGATAGATAGATAGATAGATAGATAGATAGATAGATAGATAGATAGATAGATAGATATAGATAGAACAAAGGTGGCTTTTGTAGGCCTTGAAATTGTTTGATTCTGGAGTTGTAGGTTGGATCATGAACAACAGAAGCCAGAAGTAATTTGATACAGAGATCCTGTGTAGTATTTTTGTCACCAAAAGAAGCAAATAGATTGAAGTCTCATTCTATGGCCCTCAGGAATGAGGATTCATGTGAAAAAAATATCACATTGCCCCCAATCATCTCACTTTTTCTATCTATCAATTCCAATATACGTGAAATAATTTTCTGTACACAACCCACTCCCTACAGAGGTCATGGTGATTAGCAATCTGATCTGTAACGCCTGTGATTTAAGCAGGAGAAAAATAATCACTTTGAAGCAGTGGTTTAAACCATTCAATCCTCCAGGTGTTTTAGGCTTTAACTCCCAGAAGCTCAAGTCAACAAGGGCAGACATTCTGGGAGGTAAAGTCCAAAAGACCTCCAGGACGAAAGGTTGACAGCCACTGATTTAAAGAAAGGCCTGTTTCATGGTTGCATGCACACTTCTTTCCTCATGCTGTCACCAGTGTCACAAGCCTTGGAAACAAGTTTGCTTAGAAGTGAAACAAGGTTTGGTGCACACAACCCTCTTCCAAACCTCCTTCTATTCTGTGAATGCATGATCAGCTCCTGAAAGAAGACAGGCAATGCCCAATAAAACTGGGTTGTGGCGTAGTTGGCTTGGAGTCAACTGCATTAAATCACCACTGTCCGAAAGGTCAAGAGTTCAAAGCCAGCCCGTGTTGGAGTAAGCTCCTGACCATTTGTTCAGCTTGCTGCCCGGAAGACAGTTGCATCCTTCAAATAGGAAATTTAGGTACCGCTTATGCAGGGAGGCTAATTTAACTAATTTACGATGCCATAAAAATCTCTAGCAGCAGGCAAAGGAATGAGAAAGTACTCCATCAAGGACTCAGTGCCACAAGTGGACCGTGAAGCAACAGCTCCCCCGGTGGCCGCAATACAAACATACCCTCATGAAGCTTAAATTGCCTCCATGTTTGTCTATATATGTTGTGTGTCTATGGCATTGAATGTTTGCCATGTATATGTGCATTCTAATCCACCTTGAGTCCCCTGCGGGGTGAGAAGGGTGGAATACAAATACTGTAAATAAATAAATAAAAATGGACATGAGAGAGAGACATACTCTCAGGATATTTCTTAAAAGTTTTTCTAACCACTAAATGCCATGGATCTATACATGCCATGGCTCCATAAATGCCATGCTATGGAATCCTAGGATTTTTAGTCTGGAAAAGCATTAGCATTCTTTGGCAGAGAAGATTAAAGACCTTGTAAAACTGCAACTACCATGATTCCGTAGCATTGAGCCATGGCAGTTAAAGTGTGTCAAGCTGCATTAATTCTAGATGCATCCTGAGTCTCAAGATGTAAAAAAGGAAGGATTATAGAAAATTGAAAAACACTTTTTAGAAATACCATGGGAGTATGTCTCTCCCTCGTGTCTAGTTTTATTGGGCACAGTCTGTCTTCTTTGAGTTTATATTTTAACAGTAGCAAGGTTACGGTGGAACATGTATATTGAGGCAAAAACATCTCAAACTGGAAATTATTTGGCAGAGGGTTTGGGGGCCATAGACACAGTAGACCAATCCAGGAGAGCTTAAACACAAGAAACCTTTAATTCAAGGCTACCTAGTGTAATAAGTTTTTAATTTGCTTAAGTAAGTTGTTGGAAATCATGATTTTATTAATCCCCAAACAGTTGAGATTAAGATAGCATATAAAACATCAATAAAAATGAAATTCTGGGGTTCTGCATCCTCATTCATGGGTCCACTTTGAGAACAATGTAGGATTTGTGTATGCTGCTGGAAAGGGGGATATGGATAGGCAAGACAATAAAGGTGTCCCATTCAGTGCGGTTTGCCTTCTTCGTCATAAGACAAACAATCCAAGAGGAAGAATAGAAAATGGTACATTCATTCCCATCTTTCTATTACCAAGGTAGCTTTATAATAAAATTTAAGGCAGTTTAACCTATTTCAAACCTTAGTTTGGTTATCTTAATTTCAAACCTTGGTTTGTGAAGCTACATTTAAAATTGTAATCAAGATGAACCATTCTCCAGACACAGCTTTCAACTGTGGTTCCTCAAAATTATGTTTCCTATTTTAAAGTTGAAGGCTGCTTGTTGTTTGCACTCTCCCCACACCTTTTGTAAGGATATACAGTAGGGTATTACTAAGTCTGAATGCAGCCAGTGATGATGGCTCCACAAAGTACTCTCTCATAAAACTGTATACATCTATGCAACCAAACATCTCATGACATTACTAGTTTGGAAAAAGAATTAAAACAGATTCCAACCCGCATAAAATAAAAGCACAAAACCACAATCTTACTTTTGACTTTACAGACTGGAGAAAGAACTATTATATTATGGACCCCAATTCATCTACTGTTACATCAAAAGCTGCATACATGAAGATGTGTAATAGGGGGTGACATCAAACCGATCAGGCAAATTATTAGAGAGAATTGGCCCTCTGTTTTCAGAGACAAAGGTCTTCTGATAATGCTTGTGTCACATGGATATACAAATACTTCAATTAATCGTTATTTAAACTCCAAATTTTCTAGAACAGAAAACTTGATGGCATAGTTCCCTGTTAACATACTACTTTTTTAAAAAAGGACCATTATCTTTTGAAGCAAAGATATCCCTGAGGCACAGGCAAAGACACATATTTAGGCACATACTGTAAAGACCAGTGATTGCTTGCTAGACTATAAATATGATTAGTTTCAAACTGTATCTTGTCATCTGTGTTAACTGAGAATGCCAGTCAACACTCTGGTCCTTCTGAATTGTACAGATGCACTTGCAGGCTATTCCTTTTGCTTGGCTGCAATTCATCTGTTGGCACAAACGCTGCATCCCAAATGTCTTGGATCAGCAATCTTTTCCCCTTTACACTCTATAGCAGGGGTCCTCAAACTAAGGCCAGAGGGCTGGATACGGCCCTCCAAGGTCTTTTCCCCAGCCCTCGCTCAGGGTCAACCTAAGTCTGAAGCTACTTGAAAGCATACAACAATAATCCTATCTCATCAGCAAAAAGCAGGCCCACACTTCCCAATGAAATACTATTAAGTTTATATTTGTTAAAATTGTTCTTCATTTTAATTATTGTATTGTTTTTAAGTGTTTTTTGCACTACAAATAAGATATGTGCAGTGTGCATAGGAATTCATTCATTTTTTTTTCCAAATTATAATCCAACAGTTTGAGGGACTGTGACCTGGCCCTCTGTTTAAAAAGTTTGAGGACCCCTGCTCTATAGTCTCAGCTTTGAACATAACACTGTGCTCCATAGCAAATAATTCTATGCCTGGACCCATTAGGAATCAACCCAAGAAATCTACTGTGCCTTCTTCCACTGTAAGGAAAAAGGCATGATGCTGAAAAAGTACATTTGTTAGCTGTGGTTACATCTTTTAATGCTGGAGATTAACCAGATCATAAATTCTAAGCGTAACATGGGACTTTTAACTTGAAGTTCAGCCTTACAGAGCGATAAGAAATTGTCACTGTTAGGTTAAGAGTTCTCCTAACTGTAGATGACAACACATTAAGAGGACCACCTCTACAACTATCATCAAAGACATCTCACCTTCTTAATGCTCAAAGTTCCCACAACCAAGTTGATTCCTCATACCACAGATAAATGATATATATTACAGACACATATAATACACAGATCAATACTCATGCAGTGGACACAGACCTCTTACAATGTGGCAATTTCCTGTGCACACAAATGTGCTTACATGCAGAAATTTAGAGAAAACATCTCTGCTGGGAAATAAGACAAACACAGGAGGACAAGGAAGTAGCAGAGGCGGCTGATTTAAAAAGCTGCAGTTCCATGAAGGGTTCATTTCACCAGAGGTGGAAAGGGTGTTTGACAGAAAAGTGTGTTTTCAGCATCAAGAAAAGACATTTGGAAATAACATGCAAGCGTATGAGATGAGCCTGTAGGCTTTAGCGGGTGTGTTCTTGACCTCCTCATATATACATTTTGGAGTGCTTAGTTATACAGGTTGAGCATCCCTCGTCTGGAATTCCAAAATACCGCAAAACCTGAAATAGTCCACATGGGTGGTTGAGATAGTGCCATCTTTGATTTCTAATGGTTTCATGTATACAAATGTTGCTTCATGCACAAAATTATTCAAAATATTGTATAAAATTACCTGTGGGCTATATGTATATGGTGTCTACGAATCATAAATGAATTTCATGTTAAAACAAGACAGCTCATTATGTATGTATATGCAAATACAGGTATTCAAAAATCTGGAAAAAATCCAAAATCCTAAACACTTTTAATCCCAAGCATTTCAGATACCGAATACTAATTTTAAAAACTATGAAAAAAATCTTTTAAGAAAAAGTACAGTCCAGTCTTTTTCTCTCTCGCTTCAGATGGCAGCCTTTAGCATCAGCTTTTCATTAAACAGAAAACAAGGAAGAAAGCTGAACAGAATTTCATGTAATGTGCA